CCCCACCCTCCTCCTCCTTCACTGGGTCTTCCTCTTCTCCATGACTGAGATAAGGTGGGAGGACTTGGTCTTCTCTTGGGCTACACTCCCTCCCTTCCTCATTGCATTTGGATACACAGCTTTAAATGCGACTGACGTGCTGATGACACTCAAATTTACATGAGCCCCAGACTCTCCTAGCCTCCCACCTACTCACCACTTCTACTTGCAGGCTTAATGCGCCCCCAAATCTAGCATGTCCACACAGAACTCCCATTTCACTTGGCAGAAGGCAAGGGCAAATTCAGTCTTTCTAAGAGCCAAAGCTTGGAGTCATCCTTGATCCTACTTTTTTTCCAGTATACCAGTGAATTGTATTTTTGTTTGTTGTTGGTGTTGTTGTTGTTGTTGTTTTTGTTTTGAGGTGGGGTTTTGCTGTGTCACCCAGGCTGGAGTGCACTGGTGCAACCGTGGCTCATTGTAGCCTCAATTTCCAGAGCTCGAGCAATCCTCCCACCTTACTCTCCCGAGTAGCTGGAACCACAGGTATGTGCCACCACAGCTACCACACCTGTCTCTTAGTATTTTTTTTTTAATTTTGTAAAGACAGGTGCTCACTATGTTGCCCAGGCTGGTCTTCAACTCCTGGCCTCAAGTTATTCTCTTGCCTTACCATCCCGAAGAGCTGGAATTACAGGCATGAGCCATCATGCCTGGTCTGAGTCAGGTGGTTTTTTTTTTTTTTTTCTTTTTTTTGAGACGGAGTCTCGCTCTGCTGCCCAGGCTGGAGTATAGTGGCGTGATCTCGGCTCACTGCAACCTCCGCCTCCCAGGTTCATGCCATTCTCCTGCCTCAGCCTCCCAAGTAGCTGGGACTACAGGCGCCCGCCACCATACCCAGCTAATTTTTTGCATATTTAGTAGAGACGGGGTTTCACCGTGTTAGGCAAGTTGGTCTCAAACTCCTGACCTCGTGATCCGCCCGCCTCGGCCTTCCAAAGTGCTGGGATTACAGGCATGAGCCACACCCAGCCATTGGGTGGTATTTTTAATTAGATTTGGAATCCGACCATTCTCACTCCCTGTGTTGTGCAAGCCACATGTGACTATATTTACATTAATTAAAATTTCAAATAAAAGAGAAAAGAAAGAATGGCCCAAATGAGAACTCTTAGGAAAACTGGAGCACAAATTAAATTTAAAAATTCAGTCTCTTACTTGCACTGGCTGCGCTTCAGGTGCTTAGTAGCCATGTGCATGGACATAGAGCATTTCCATCATTGAGGGAGCTCTCTTAGCCAGCGCTGGTCACGGTGTGGATCGCAGCCACCCTGGTCCAAGCTATCAACATCTCTTGCCTGGATGCCTGTATCAGTCTCTTAGTTGATCCTGCTTCTTCAGTTTTCTCAATACAGCAGCCAGAGGCACCCTTTTTAAACTTTGCACCTCATACCACTCCCAGGCTTTAAGTCATCCAAATTCCCTGTCTCTCAGAGTAGAGGTTAGTCCTCAGAAAGGCACACAGGGTTCCAGGGGTTCTGGCCCCTTCTCATTTGGCCTCATCCATCAAGTTGCTCTCTCTGCAGCAACATGCGAGCCTCCTGCTACTCCTGGGCTCCAGAGCATGCTCTGCCTCAAGTCTACCGCACTGGCCATTTCCTCTTTTGGGAGTGCCCTTCCTGGCTCACTCACTCTCCTGCTTCAGCTCTCTCTGCTCAAAAGTCGCTTTCTCAGTGAGGCTCCTTCCGACTATTCCACTTCAATTTCAACTTCTCCTCCAACTGCCAGCACTCTCACTCTCCCTTTCTCTGTGTAACTTTGTATTTTCTGTAGCACTCATCTCCTATGAACGAACTATATACATTTACTTGTGTATGATATCTGTTGTTTACTATCTGGCAGGGATCTTTGTCCGTTTACTCACTGCTGGAAAACTGGCTCAGAGGAAGCTTTCAACAAATACTTGTTCAATAATGAACAGAGAAAGTTTGAGGGCTGAAAGGGGCCCTGGAAACCATTCTTGGGTGTGTGGCTGAGGGTCAGTGAGGTGAGGCTATTCCCTGAGGACTCACCATGAGCTCAAGGGAAGAACATGGATTAGGAGCCGGCATCATCCTAGGCATCTTCACTGGGCGAGCTCCATGACAATGAACTCCCCTTCCCCTTCCTCTGTCACAGTCAGAGGGACACCAATGAACCACAAAGAGCCAACGGGGACAACAACCAACTAAAATATCAGGGGTATTCACCACTTTCTTCTTGGTAAAGCTTTGCATGATTCAACCATCAATCCTACCTCTCTGATAACTTATAAGAAGAAAGGGACAAAGTGGTGGTTCAGATTAATGAGCTCTTCTTCCATGCTACTCTAACCCTCCTTCCCCCAATGCAAATACCAAGATTCTCTGAAAACTGGAAACACACATGGATGCTAGATTGTTTTTTCCTAAACATATCAACCTTGTTTTTTAAAAAAATAAAATGATGCTTTCATTACATAATTTATAAAATAGTATTTGAGAAAAAAGTTGATTAGTAGGAAAAGAATGGCTTTCCGTTGCATCATTAAAATATTTCTGACAATCCAGACGAATTAGAAGAAAAGCAAAGCCCAGATCACATTTTGTGTTAGGGATTTGTCTGTCCTCTTGTATCTGAAACGAAGTACCATCTGAATAGACATAGTTTTAAACACCTAGGGATAATGATTTTTCTACTGCCAATTCTGGCTCAAAGAAAAAGATAGTGAGGGAGCTTCAACCTCACAAACAGACCTGTTCATAATGGCACAGCTAACAGGTCCAGGGCTACACAGCATGATGTTAGCAGAGAGCCTGGAAAACTCCATCCACAGCTCACTGGATGATTTAACTTGCCAGAGTATATAATTAAGAACAAAGTTATCTTTATAGTCATTCCTTCATTACTGAGATAACTCAATTGGAGGCTGTTTTAGAGATGCTGGATTCAGAAATAAAATCCTTACAGACTGCACTGCAATGTCATGAAGATTACACTAGAAAACAAATGGATGCGCATAGACAATCTTCTGTATGTACCAGAAAATTAGATCTCAGGAGAGACACGAAGAAAAAACATAAAATCAAAGAGGGTGGGGGCCGAGCACAGTGAAAGGTATAATCAGCGGCTTCCCAGAGAGAGGAACCTGCAGGGCCAGCAAGTTCGCTGGTTGTTACCTGGGGCAGCGCTCTTCAGTGCTTTCACTAACTGTCCCCTTCCAGCTCCAAAACCATTATCTCCATAGTCCGGGTCACTGTCACTATTACTGCCACCGCTGGCAGAGTATGTACACATTCTGGGTGCCTTGTCCTAAATGAGTAATATGAGACTGTTAAGATTATTCATACAAATCAAAACGGGGCAGAGCATCCTGTGAGCATGTGACACAGTTCACATTTGGCTGTCAATGTGTGCACAGAATTCCATTCCCACTGCCCAGCCCACCGCCCACCCAAGACCAACTATGGTTTGCTGGTTTTTCGGCCTCCTGAGGAGCTGATGCTGTCTACTCAATTACCAGAGCTGCAGAACTAGGCCTGCAATAATGAGGCTGTCGATGGCACTCTGCCATTGTCCCAGGCCCAGGAAGGTCCCCACGGTTACCCGCTCTGCATTTTGTACACTTCTTTATAGGGTCTTATTTTTCTCAAGTGCCTATTACGAGCTGCTGTTCCAAACCTAATGGCTTATTTATTTAACTGATCTCATCATTGCCTTCCAAGTATCAGAAGGTAATAAAACAATCAACCTTGGGAACAAAAGAATCAATGTTTGCCTAATTTATAATTTTCTTTCAGCTCCCAAAAGGACAGTAGCCTTTAGAAAAGTAAGCAACCGCTGACCCTATGTAATCCTCAAATCTGCTGACAGTTCATGGGCTGAGGGACCCAGTTTCCCCTCTTGCTCACATGCACGCATCACCTGGCCCCTCCCCTAAGGATGTCCGTGGTGTGGCAATGATGCTGTATTCAGGAATCGCTGAGGCAGTTGATGCTGTATGAACAGTATTCCCCTTTGTGCACATAAGCAGAATACTGGATCCAGGAGTGCAACTCCGATGTTCTTGAATTGAGGTTATTTGGGGCCTTTTTTTCCCCCATTTGTAGAATGTCCTGTTGGAGCCTATTATTCCCCACCTAAGCCAGATAGTTCCGATCCAGATGCATTAGATGGGTCTCTGAAGTTTGTTTAGAAGAGTGTCATTTGGTTGGGGATTGTAAAAACACATTTTAGGATGTAAACTCGCTTATCTGGGGTTATAAATTCAAGCACTCATTTCCTTTACTCCTTCATTCATTTACTTAGTCACCCATCCATTCAACAGTGTTTACTAAGTACCTACTGTGTGTTAAGCAGTATGCTAGGTTCTAGGGGTAACCTGCTGGAAGGGGTAAACAGGAGGGGGTACCACATAACCCCCAGTAGGGATGAGCAAGGAGTCCCTGAGCCAGACACCCATAGCCACTCATTATGAGTTCTGTGTGTGTCACCTCAGGGCAGATGAAGAACCCACTGCAAAAATGAAACTCAAGGCTCACGGATCCTAGCAAGTCATTTGACCACACCGAGCCTCTGATTAGCCATCCTTAGCAATAGAATTAGACCTGCTTTCCCTGTTTCATAAAAACAAAGTAAAGGTTAAAATAACTACCGAGATAATGAAAAAAATAGAAAAAACATCATTTCAATGGCGCCCGCATGGCTTGGGAGAGTGAATGCATGTCCCACAATATCTAATCAGGGCAGCGCATCCATACCCAAGAATCTGGGTGCATTTCAGAGGCACTTTGATTTCTTCAGAATGAAAGTGTCCCAAGAACCCACAGTATTCCTTAATAAGGCAGGGAAAAGGGCAAACCCTAGATCTTGGTTTATAATTCAGGAAACCAATAGCAAATTTCATTTAAAATGAAATCTATCATACAAGTGTTTTAAAGGTGCACTTTTTACAATCAGGACCAACAGGTAGATGGCGCCCTTCACCTCCCCCGACCCCTCACCTGGGTCCTGGTGGCGGCATCTTCACCCCCCCAGTCTGGAAGCGGCTGGTTTGCCATTGGATCTTCAGCATATCCGAATGATGAGCATGTCTGAGGCCTTGGCTCTGCTTCATTCTGCTTTTGGGGACTGACTTTTCCTAAATGAGAACACGTATGTGGAATCACATATCAGCTTCCATCGACCTTTTCCAAGTTTAGGGAAGGAGGTGGGGGGAGACATTCAGAAATGATAAAAAGGGTCCAAATACAGGGAAAGCTGGGCTTCCTGCCATTCTGTCCCACTGCAGTCTGTGCTGCCCAAAACATCTGCATAATTGTGTATACACGTCTATAGAAGCCCCTTTTCAAGACCCTGAGGCAAACTGTTCTTAGACTACTTTTCTACAAAATGTTGAAAGACTTTACAGGTTAGAAAGGGTTCGGCAGGCAAACCATTCAGGAAACGCTAAAGTTATTCTTTAAATAATGTTATTCATCCAACAACAATCAAGTTTCTTCTTTGGAGGACTTCTCAGAGGCTTCAGTGTGCCAATGGGCATTAGCATAGTTTCTGAAAAGAGGATTTGAATTTGCAGGCTTCCTCAAACACAGGGAACCCCGATTTTCCTAAAATACTTATCAAGGTCATTTTGCATAGTGTGGTTTGGGAAGCTTTGCTTGGAGCCCTTAAACATCTCTCAGGGCAGTACTTTTGAAGCTTTAATGTACATATGGATCAGCTGAGCTTTTGTTCATGCGCGTGCTGATTCAGTAGGTATGCGGTGGGCTCTGAGTCTGCAGTTCTGACAAGCTCCCAGGTGATGCCAGTGATGCTGGCCCACGGACCACACTGAGTAGCAAGGGTGTAATTAGCAGTGAACAATTAAAGAGAGTTTCCCCATTACCCGTGAAAGTAGATTAACCTGCATAGTGTATGCCTTTGTCATGCCAGAACGGAGAATTGCTGTCATTATCCTCCAACCTCAGTGATTATAAGCAGGACATGCTGTGACAGCCTCTCCACAGGATTTTGTTTGTGAGGGGAAGCTAAGAACTGTGTTTTCATCAGTACTGTGAGTTTTGTATAGTGACTTCCAGTTTTTATATGGGGAGAAGAAAAATAACCAATTCAAATGTACACATTAAACAGGCAGTGACTGCTCAAAAAGGAGGTATAATCTCATTTTCTTTTTGTTCCAACTAGTCCTCATTCCCTAATTTTTAACATGAATAACAGATGGACACAGAAAAGAGAAGCATTGGAAAGCAGGCCCCCTCTGGACCACAGATATCATGTGGGGACAGGAAAGTTCAGGATGGGTGACAAAAATTCCCTGCAGTGTGTTCACCTCACTCTCTACCATATACTATCTTTTTACAACTCTTCCTTACAATTTAATTAAAATAGAGCCCAAAGCCAGGTGCAGTGGCTCATGACTGTAATCCCAGCACTTTGGGAGGCCACGGCAGGTGGATCACCTGAGGTCAGGAGTTCAAGACCAGCCTGGCCAACATGGTGAAACCCAGTATCTACGAAAAATATAAAAAATACAAAAATTAGGTATGGTGGCACATGACTGTAATTCCAGCTAACTGGGAGGCTGAGGCAAGAGAATCACTTGAACCCAGCAGGTGGACGTTGTCGTGAGCCAAGATCACGCCATTGCACTCCAGCTAGGGTGACGGAGTGAGACTCCATCTCAAAACAAAAACAAAAACAACAAAGATAGAACCCTTGCATACCTGGTGCAGTGGATATTAGCAGCAAGATCCAAACAATCTCCTTCTGATCACTTATGAAGCAATTCAAGACTTGTGGTTTCTATTCAATTTGTTATAATGACAGTGTTTAATCATGGAGTCTAAGGCAGCCGCCGCTGAATTGAGGTCACACATGTGACTATTCAGGCATGGAGTACATAATCTATAACTAAGATTTTGCCCCTTACTCTCTGGAGGCTGTGTCATTAATTAACAATGCATTTATTTAAAAAATAATATGCATTACAGGCTTTAAAAACGTAGCCTTGACTTGGAATGAGCAGAAGTTTGTGATGCAACATTCGTGGCAACGGGTATTCTTATATAAAGGAAGAACTCAGCCATGGGAATAGCCCAATCACATTTATTCCAAGATTTATAATTAAAAGTCTCCTTTTCTAATTTCTCAGAAGCCTATAGTATAATCTCCACTTGCAGCTCCTTTCTAATCATCAACTCATAAGTGAAAGCGTTCGATTTAAAGTTTTAGTTCCTATGCTTATGCATGTTGTAAAAGCAACATAAGACATACAAGTTAAAAATTATTAAGTGTCATCCTGGGCTGCAATAAATATTTTTAATCGTGAGGGAACAATGAAAAAACGGTGACCCTTAGCCTAGCCCTGTCTTTAATCATGAAAGCTTGTTTCAATTGACTGCCACGAAGGATAGTACTTCTCAATGGGAAGGCTCACTCTATTCTACTGCATTAGTGCATGATCTACTGCTGATTTATCAAACTATGCCTTTTATAGTTCAACATATAAATATATTTTAACCAGATAGGAATACATCAGAACATGTATGTTTTTGGTCAGAAGGAAAACAACATTGTAGTTAAATTTATATCTTGGGCTGAAATTGGTCTATATTCAGAGTTAAATTTTATAGGATAAAACCTCACGAGTGTACGTTGCATGGTTTTTTTCTTAATCAGTTCATATATCCATAGACCAGTACTTACATGTCTGTTTCCTTATATGTGTGTTACTGCTCAGTGTAATTCTATGAGTAGATACTGACTTATACACATTGTTTTGCTTTTTGGTGAAGGACATGAAGGAATTTTCACGTATCTACATTTTTATCAGGCAGGTCACTGACTTGCTTATCTCCTGGTGAAAGGTTTTCCTTTTTTTTTTTTTTTTGTCAGCAAGTGTCTTATTAAGGGTGGGAGATTGGCATTTTACCTGAGGAAGCTGGTTTGGGAAGGCGGCTTTGAAGAGGTCGCAACCCTCTGGCAGTCATGATGGGGTCAGATGTGGAATGAACAATGGTGCTATCTGCAGGGCGCTGGCTGGCTGTGGAGGAAGGCACTTCACGTTCAAGGGTTTGGGCTCTCATGGAAGAAACTGCAGAAAGGGCTGACTGGAGAGGCAGGAGAGGCTCACTGTCCTCTGGGGAGTCTGGCTGGCATAGGTATCGTCCCGTCGAGCGATTTCCCGAGTCTGGGAGTGGGAAGGTTCCGATCCCACTGTCCAATGTTCTCATCTGGCAGCTGGATTCTGAGATAGAGAGGCAGAGAGAAAGGATTAGAGAAGGCTCACATAAAAGGATAAAAGAATCGTGGAAACTGGGGTATGATCTGGAGGAAAGGAGACACCTAGAAGGGTGAATTTAAGAGAAAGAAAAATGATAAGCATTTGGAAACAATATTAGTGGTGTAGTAAATTTCCAGTGAGGTGCATGAAACGGACCCTTTTGAACATGAAAGCATCCCCTTCCTGTAATATAAGAAGACGACCAGCCTGTTACGAGCAGCAATAGTCACTTGTGCATATATCCTGGATAGGTCTTTAGAGTTAGAAGAGGAACAGTCATTAGAGACCAAATTGTGGTCATCCTTATTTCAATCTGGGAATCATATGACTTCAACCAATTAGGTGAAACTTATTAACTGAAATAATGAGTAATGAGAACACATAAATTGAAGTGACATCCTAACAACAGTAATTGTGTATCTCTTGCATGAATGATCGCCCATTCAGCAGTTGACTAAATATCTGGCCTCTTAATTTGACTGCGGGGACAAGTAATTCACATGCCAGAAGGGTCATCCCAAAGTGTACCTTTCCCATCATAACATCACTTATCATGTGGGCTTCATTTGGCCCAGTTGAGAAGACTGTGAGCCACTTTCTTTCACTCTCACTTTATTCAGTGACAAAACTCATCAATAATGCTTTGGATTTCTTAGCAGTCCCAGGGATCCCACTATTCTGTAAGAACAAATTAAGATGATTTCACCATGTCTGTGACATATTCTGTTAATTGTGTGTCATCATCAAAACATTTTATATATGGAGAAAAGTACAGTATCTGAAAAAATTACCACATAATTTCTGGAATGGTGGTGTGGTTTATCAAGGCCAATGAGGCAGCTTCCAAGATCTGGATGTCATCTAGAAAGTCTTCTGTTCATATGATAATCCTAGAATGAAACTTCCTAGGTTTCATCTTAGAAGCATCTTGTAAGTCTAGCACTGGGTCAGCGGAACAACTGAGCACTGTATTAGGCATGGTGGGGAATATAATAGATTACGACATAATGTTTGTATCAAAAGCTCAACAGCTACCACTTCTTTGGTGCTTTAAGAACAGAGGCTTGTGGTGTGATCTTTGCCAATGACTAATTTTTTGAACCCCTGTGCAAGAGCCTTAGCCTCTCAAGGTCTCAGGTTCCTTTTAGGACTCCTGTGAGGATTAAAGTATGTTCACCATTTAATCCTTAGAATTTAGAATGACACTAAGCGCACTGTGAGACAGCCCAGTAAATGAATAATGAATGGCAAAATATATAAAATGTTTAGTATATTTATTACATATTAGTAGATACCTGATAGGTGAATAGCTTATCCTTAAGTATCTTTATATACAATCTCACTTCATGCTCAGCACTTACTATCCAAACTTCAGAATTTGCCCATTCCCCTACCTTCCTCCTCAAAACATCTTTGCTGAGTAGCAGAAGTCTGGGAATTTCCTAATACTAAGGCAAAAATAAAGGGATGGGAATGTGTACACAGTTGGCTTTTCTAGGCTCGAGGAGGTTTGGTGCTTGGTGTTGGAAGTACTAGGAAGATGAAGTCCCTACTCAAGAGGCTTCAATCTTCACAGGGATATTTAGCAGGAAGATATAGATACCGTTTTTTCCACTATGGTGCCATTTAACCATCTCATATGCCATGGGATGTTTGTCATGGACTCTAGGATATCTGAATCATACAGACACACCATGAGAAGTGCTTTTCCTTCCCGGGATTACAAGAGCTAAGTTTTAGCCCCATTCATTTCAGGGCCTCCAACAGGTCAACTTTATTCTCAACCAGACTTACAGATTATTCATGACCTTCTCTTTTCATTTTCTCCCCAATTAAGGGGATTTAATTGTTATAGAATGGTGTTTTTGAGAAAGGATCAGCTGTTTGCATGGGGAGGCACTGCCAGATGAGTAAAAAAAAAAGACACTGCTATTCAGACTTCTGTGTCTTTTCTTAATTTTAGCCTTACACATACAACACTTCAGATTTAGCATGTCCATGTGTTGTAATTGGGGCAATTCTGAAAGTCTGGAGTATTTCAGACTTACGGGAGTAAGTAGATCTTCATCAGGACCGACTCAGTCTTTGAAGATGAGAATCAAAGATTCATGGGATGTAGCAGCTGAGAGGTGTCAGACCCTACGTGCCCCAGGCTACCTGCCCTAATAATTTACCCCAGCATCCTCAGGACTACCTATCCCTGAATCAAGGAGGGCTCGGCAGGGCAGGACATTAGAGGTGCTTTTTCTTTGGAGAAGACGTGTCATCAAAAGTTGGTGCTTATTACAGCTTTCAGGAGTCCTGCTTTCTTTGTATCATCTCTTCCTCTTCACATACCTATAAGGCAAGAACTATCACTGCTGTTCAGAAATGAGGAATCACAGCTAACAGAGGTTAAGCAACTTGTCCAAGGTCATATGCTGTAAATGAAAGCCTGGACTTGAATCTAGGCCTTACTACAAAGACAATGCTCTTAGCCACCAAGCTATACTGATTCCCCCCAGAAGCACAAGTAAACCCCAAAGTGTCCTCTGCTCACTTCATAGCCATTGAGGCAGCCATGTGAACAGAAGGCTTACAGCATGGCCCCATGGCTTCCAGGCAAGGTGCCCAGCTTCTCCTCTGAGATTGGTGCTGGCCCCAGAATTCTAGCTTGGTTCCTGGGCTCCCTATTCTGAGGCTGGAGTCCACTGTCAACATGCCTGGCATCTAGCTGGTTGTCTGGTTCTACGCAGGAAGCCTATGCAAACTTACTATGTAGTTCTGAGAATCCCAAATGCCTAGCAACTCTTCCTTCTGCCCTCTTGGACTGAATCCTTAGACTTCTTGCCAGGGCTTTTTTTAGAGTTTACTTTGCCTCCTGATATGGTTTGGATCTGTGTCCCTACTACATCTCATGTTGAAACGTAATCCCCAGTGTTGGAGCTGGCGGCTGATGGGAGGTGTTTGTATTGGGGGTTATATCCATCACGCATGACTTAGTGCCATCCCCTTAGTGATGTGTGAGTTCACGTGAACTCTGGTTGTTTAAAAGTGTGTGGCACCTTCCACCTTCTCTCTTGCTCCTGCTCTTGCATTTGAGACACCTGCTCCTACTTCACCTTCCACCGTGATTGGAAGCTTCCTGAGGCCCTCGCCAGCAGCCGATGCTGGCACCATGCTTCCTATACAGCCTGCAGAACCATGAGCCAGTTACACCTCTTTTCTTATAAATTACCTAGTCTCAGGTATTTCTTTATAGCAAGGTAAGAATGGCCTAATACACCTCTAGCTTGGTGATAGGCACTCTTCCAAGGGCAATGTTTTTCTGGCTTTTCTCCCTCTTCTATGTATTATAAGTCACATAGAGCACTTAATCCAGTCTCCTCAAATGAAGATTCAAAAAGCAAAGTGAGAATCTTGGCGGCCTTTTTCATGTTGGCAATAGGTACCATATACAAAGCCCATATATGTTTGTGTAACCTATAACACAAAGCATGGGGCAGCTGCAGGAAGTACGGCAGAGGAGGAATTCAGGGGTAGAAAAAATGTTGAAGGAGGTCTAAGTCTGGAGGCTTTCTGAAGACTACAACATTTTCTAGCATCAATCCCCTTAAATTTTTTTACTTTCCTTTCAACACCCAATATTGTTATACCAGAGTCTATAAAACAGGACTTTTGGAATTCTTGAGTTCTCTGATTTCCTGAGAATTGCATGCCCTGACATTAAACTCAGAAACCATTTGCTATTAAGGCCATTTTTGTTTCTTTCTTGCAGATGCCAAATGTAGTGGATGTGAAGGATTCATCTGTAAGTCCCTATTAAGTTAGGTGTGGACAGTCAGGGGCTCAGACACATGCCAAGTTTCCCTGCAAGAAAATTTCTTCAGAATACATAAACCTTTGGAAACGGAAGTTTATATTGAAAATGCTGACACCATCTTTATGTAGTTTCTTTAAGGCACAATTAGTTTCTTGCAGTTCATAAAAATATTGTAACCTGAATTACAAATGTTAGATATTGTAGTTCTGAAGCCAGTTTTTTTTTTCTCAGGGAATTTTAAGAACTCACAAAATAATTAAATGGTTGTAGTAGGAACTAAGTTCAAAGGGGCAAGCCTGCCTCCCATCCTCAATGAGTTGATGCAGTATTGCTCTCAATAAATGTGAGTTCACGGCCGGGCGTGGTGGCTCATGCCTGTAATTCCAGCACTTGGGGAGGCCGTGGTGGGTCAATCACGAGGTCAAGAGATCGAGACCATCCCGGCCAACATGGTGAAACCCTGTCTCCACTAAAAATACAAAAAAAGTTAGCTGGGCATGGTGGTGCGCACCTGTAGTCCCAGCTACTCAGGAGGCTGAGGCAGGAGAATCGCCTGAACCCGGGAGATGGAGGTTGCAGTGAGCCGAGATTGCCTCACTGCACTCCAGCCTAGCGACAGAGCGAGACTCCATCTGAAAACAAAACAAAACAAAATACAAAAGAAAAACAAACAAAAAAACCCCCACAAATGTGAGTTCACATTTCTGGCTGTGAGTATAGTTGCCCACAGGGCCTTGCTAATGAGTTCAAGGGTTGGGTTTCAACCAACTGGTGTAACTGGTGATGTAAGGTCACCAGTTACATCTCTGATTCTGGTCAGCTCTCTCACCTGTTCCTATTGTCCCATGTGCCTTCTCTCTGTCTCTCAAGGTATTAACAAATTCTCACAGTTACCACCACCATCAGGTCCCAGGAACCTAATGGGACGACTTAAGGCACTACTTCCCAGTCCTATTAAAGTTGTCTCGCACAAAGAAAATATGCAGTTGGTTGAGGAAAACACCAGTCCCCAGGACAACTGGTCAACTGAGGGCTGAACAAGCTCCATCTTGGTGCACCCGGCACCCATTCAGAGCAGTCAGCAGCAGAATGGCAGAGAATCTCATAGAGAATGGAGTCCCCATTCTCTTTTACTGACTGAACCTTGAATACATTCCCTTGC